CTAGTAATTATTAGTCATAAATGTTTATATAAACAAGACATGGATGTCTTGTTGATGTGACAAAAAAGGCGATAATGATGTTTAGCGGGAAATATGTAGGGCATAGTGGGCTTTTATGAAACATTTTGTCACAGGGCTACATACAAGCCATTTTAACAGCCCGTGAAGAGAATAGTGAAAGATAATGCTCAGATCTTAATGTAATAATTCATAGGGAATTCAAAATATATTTAAAGCCTGAGTTTTCGCCTAAATAAAGTTTTCTCAGACTTCGATGTCTTTAATGAAATAAAATAAGAATTGACTTCTCATATTTATTAGAAAAACTGTGTATTAAACATTGAATGAATTTATCTTTATTTATTTTTTTTATTTTCCGTATTGTTAAGTACACCAGAATTAGTACGAATACTACCTAATTATTAAGCCATATTTCTAAGATAACTCCCATTGTTAAACCCAGATGATAGTATTATTATACAGTTATCCGCCCAATTCCTTAGTATAGAACTTTCCTATTGTTTCTTATTTACTTTAAAATTATCACGTTAGCCCTAGTTTACCCTTTAAGTATATCCTTAAATTACGTGCATAACCCAAACCAGGACTAATTTAGTAATAACCCGATCTCAATCTACATAATTCGAGACCTTAGATTAAGGACCTCATGTGTTATGAGTCTTATTGAATAATACCTATAAATCCTTTTAAGTTTACTATTGGAGCTAAATTGTCTGCTAAATTACCATCACTCTCCCAAACAATAGTAACAATGGCCAACATCCAAATCAATCCTCAAAATCTATTTTTCTGTCTAACCAAATAACATCAGACATTTCTTTTTTGCAAACAAACCTTGTATCCACTGCATTTTTGCTGAATTTACAGATCTGTAAAAATCTGCAATTTTGCCAAATTTTGCAGATCTGTAAAAATTTGCAATTTACTTACTAGTTCGATGTGTGGCACGAATGTGTCACACATCTTATTTAGTATTTCTTTTAATTATATCACTGCATAAAATTCTTTCATATAATTTATTATTGTAATATACACAATATATAGTAAATTTTGAATAAATTACATTGAAATTATAATGATTCTACCATGACTTATTAAGAATTCTGTTACAGAATTTACTAATATGGTATATACAGTTTTTGAGTTAGTATTATTATAATTTTTACTATAACTTTATATAAAATTATTATAGAACTTACTCGCTATTCGGAGACTACAGTATGTAGTTAGAGTTAAGTTTTTTGCATTAGAAATTATTTCTATTTTGATTCAGAATATACAGTATACAAGTGGTTAAATTTGAGTTAGCATTGAAATTATTGTGATTTTTGTTAAATATTTCTGTTACAGAACTTACCCACTATTCCAGTCAACATTAAGGTTGAATGAAATTATCCGAATTTACTATTTATAATTCTATTGTAGATGCATTTTCTAATACAGTGTATGCAGTAGCTAAAGTTGAGTTAATGCCGGAATTATCACTTTTAAATGAAAGATTTAGATTTCATACACTTACTGGTAATTTATTGAACAATTAAATAATTATGGTTAATAATACTAATACATATATAGTACTCTTAAAACACAAATGTTAAAGTGAACAGAATTAAATTTCATACTTATCCTGATAATTTATTGGATGATTAAATGATTACAGTTAATCATACATGCATTCTTTTAAAACACAATTGTTGAAGTGAACAGAATTGTACTTCAAACTTACTCTATTAATTTATTAAAATTACAGTTATTTATATATCTTTTGAAATACTAATATTAAAGTGAACAGAATTAAATTTCATACTCACTCTGATAATTAATTGTTACGGAGATACTTAACTATGGGGCTTTAGGTTGGTTTTACCTAATATTAAGCACTCACTTTGCACTGGATTATTTGCCAGCTATACTACTGTGTATTTATTAGAATGTGTATTCACAAAGCAAGACAAACGTTTTCACTAAGAAGCTTGTTCAATAAGCAAGCTAACGTTCCTTGATTCCAAAGGAATCGATTCTCTCTTTTATTAGAGATTATCACTCCGGGTACTTAATTACCCAGTTACACGCATTATGCAATACTTACAAATAGACTATAAATTAAATTCATGCATCAACGATCACGTCATTGACATTACCCAGTTCCGATCGGGTAACCCGTGATCGTACCTAACCCTAGCACTATCAACACAAGGGGTGTTGGTCATCACCATGACATTAATGAATGATTAAATAATTATACAGTCGACTCTTTCAAAACCGATAACCTGCTATAAATGATCAAAAATTGATTCATCAAGCCGTTCTATATTTAATTTCTGATAATCTGCCATTTCTGATGTCCAATAGTCCCAATATTCAAGTTTCTGACACATTTGAATTAAAATGATTTTATTCTGGGTTTATTTGAACCAACTGGGTTCAAATAATTCTATTCCGGGTTTATTTTAATCTAACCCATGTTTAAATTATTCAATTCTGAGTATTCTGAGTTAAATGACCCCATTTTCGGGTTAATATCGAATCTACTTATATTTGATTTAATTGGCCCATTTACATTGACTAATTACGTAATATTTCTCAAACCCGATAACCGATTCAAACCTGTAAACCATGTATATCAGTTTTGATATAGTCGACTGTAGTTATCATACTTTCTGTTAAAATATAATCATCAAAATAAACAGATTAAACTTCAACTCACACTGGTAACTTAAATGATTAATGTTAATCATGCTTTCTTTTGAAATAATTATTAAAATGAACAGAATCAAACTTCATACTTACTCACTGGCATTTTATTAAATGATTAATGATTATGGTTAATCATATATTGTCTTGAAACGCAAATATTAAGATAACAGAATTAAGCTTCATACCCTAAAAATTTACATTGTCTTGAAACACAATCATTAAAGTGAACAGAATTAAACTTCATATTCACACCGGTAATTTATTGAGCGATTAAATAATCACAAATCGGGCTCTAATCAGCATCATGTAATCTGATATGAACCTGATTTGAACATATATTTTGCGCAAATAGGAGACATTAGGATACAAATTGGGTTCATATAGGCATTCAATACATATCGGATTCAATAAGGCTATAAGGCAAGCTTTATTGATTTACCAATAGAGCTATCGGCATTCCGATATATATTGAACCCCTATATGAACCCGATTTGTATCCTAAAGGTATCCTATTTGCATGTTCAAATAAGATTCATATTGGAATTATGTTGATGCTGATTAGAACCTGATTTGCCCTTATATGGCCTGTAATTGGTTTAAAATATATACAATCGTTAAAGAGAATGAAATTAAACTTTATACTTACCCAGTAATTTGTTTAATGATTAAATAATTACGGTTAATCATACATTCTCCTGAAACACAATCTTTAAAGTGAACAAAATTAAACTTCATACTCACTTTGGTGATTTTATCGAATGATTAAATGATTATAGTTAATCATACATTCTCTGAAAACAATCATTAAAGTGAACTGAATGTTCACCCTGGCATAATTCATAGATTGAATATAAAAAACACGATAATGTAATCATACAAATGTTCAAATGTTGCAATAATTACAATTTTTAAATAGGATCGTACCAAAGTATACAAACTCTGTTAAATTAGATAAAATTGGTAATCTCATGCATATTCAGGGTTGCAGGTGGTAAATTTACCATGATAAAATTACAGTAATTTACCAGGTAATTTACCAAAAGTGTGGTAAATTTACTTTTATATACTTAAGTTTGTCTATGTAATTTGATTGGCCAAAAAAATGTTTTAATCATCAAATCACATGATTTTATATTACATAAATCTTCTTAAGAATAACCAATGGTAAATTTACCGGTAATTTACCAAACAGCCTGGTAAATTTACCAAAAAATTTTAAAATTACGGTAAACCAACAACACTGTGCTTATTAGAGTTTTATTTCGTGAAAATATAATTTTTATATTGTTTTCCCACACTCTGGTCATGCTTTCTAGAGCAATAGTTGCAATTTGACAATCATTCGAACGATCAATCAGAAAAATACAGCAACAGTTATAGTCATTGAGAATATCGTAATAACTACTTACATCATGCGGATAATCAAGGATGTTGCAGATTTACAATCACGTGATGATCATTCGAAATGTCATCGTACGTAATTGGCATGGTATGATCAATAATTAGTCATCGAAAAATCATAATAATTACTTACATTTACCAATTCACAGGTAACCAATCAAAAACGTTTAAACGGACAAACTCTGAATTAGATGGATTTTCGCAGACCGAATTTAAAAATCCTGCAAAAATCTGCGTTTTCGCAGAAAATTACAGACTTGATAATTTGACTATTTGGCTAATCTCCATTTATTTATAAGTTTGCTTCTTGAAGTCAACGAGAACAATATTGCCGGTAAATTCCTATATTTTCCTCGTCAGTAAAATTGACTTCGGGTTTGGAACTTCTCCCTCAAGTAGAAGATCAAATTGGGTCGGTATAAGCAAATTCTTGTAAAGTTAAGTCAGAATTGGATTTTAAATAATTAAAACATTTTGTAATGAACGTCTTTGTTTCCTCATCCTCAATATTTGTTATATTTTTGCCATTTATATTGCTGTATAAACTTCAAAAATGAGTATAAACGCTATAAACTACCATTCCGCTCTCTCAGGCATAAAATTTATCATAAAACAGTAATTTTCACTAAAAAAATTTTCCCGATGCTATTCTGTAAAGTAATATTAAAAAATTTATTCTTATGCATTGAAAATGGCATAAAAAATTTAAATATGCGTAGAAATCATATAAAATAAATCATAATATAACGATATATCGTTCTATGTTTAGATATTTAATTATACTCTATCAAGTCACAATAATAAGAAGTATCTTTAAATTAAAAACAGGATCAATATTCACAATTTAACATTTAATATTTTGAAAAATTAGTCAGACGCCGTTATAAACCGTCTTTATAAATTTCTGTCTTAGAAATTTTATGGTATTTTTCTAAAAATCTGAATAGCATCACATGTTAATAAATAAAATAAAATTAAAAATAAAAAAAGACAACCAAGAATATATACATATATATTTATATTATATATACATATATATATATATTATATTTATATACCTCAGAATACAATATGAATAATCTGGATGCTTTTCTGCAATATGTAAAATTGAATAATAATTAAATTAATTGAATAAAATAACTACTAATTACTAATTGGAACTTACCAAGACTATCATCAGGATTGCAAAGACATTTATATCGAAACTTATTTCCTTTAGGACAATTTGCAATAGAACCATGACGATAAGCTATTTCTTCGAAAAAACGGACCTGATGTTTCTTTAAGAAAAGAGCTGTAGCAATTGTATGAACCGGTGCATCTCCCCACCTATTACAAAATAAACAAGTTTAGGTTAACAATTTTAGTACTAGCATAAATAGTTTATAGTTTATAGCCAAAAAACTGCACTAACCTTTCATAATAAAATCCACCTTTTTCTTCAAGAAAATTAAAGAATTTTGTATATGCTTCACCTCTCCATAAACTTAGATCAGCAATTTCGAAATTTGACTGAAATTGGCACCTAAAATTAGTAATAATATTGAATTAATTTTATTTAAATATAGGTAAAAAAATTTTTTTTGATATATAACTAATAAACTTACAAATTATAGTCACCACTATCATCAGTTAAATATTCCAATAAAGTATCATTTTCAATTAAATGTGGGTGTTTTATCATAAATTCTTTCATAGTACTCCAAAGTGTAGGTACAGTACTTAATGATTCAGGCGGTACCAAAGTGAAACCTATAGTTTTCAAAGTTTATAAATGCGAGCAATTAACTGAATGAAGCAATTGTGACAAAAAAATAATGAATATAAACAAATATAACACCGTATTTAATATCGTTCTCTTTCATATAAATGAATGGGTCAAAATCAATATCGCAATAATATTCAACACCAGGTTCAAGACGCCAGTAATAATCATAATTATTTATCAATTCATGATGATGGAAAAATCCGGAATAAAATCTAATTAAAGCATGATCATAAGCTAAAGTGAACTTAGTGTTTCTTTACCGGTATTCGAAATTCTTAATTAGTTGTGAAAGATACTAATACAATCACTATCATGTTTACCTGCACATATGATGATAAGACAAGGCACCACCATATGGAACTCCATTATCTTCCAATTCTCTCATCCTTTCATTAGCAAGCTCTATATCTATATGATTTGGTATACTCCAATGTTCTTTCGGAACCAATCCTGGGGTGGATAATAAAATATTTAAAAGTTTTTTTTTTTTTTATTTATGAACATTTTTAAAGATTTGTTGGTGTTTTTAAATTTAATGAAGCAAAATAAAGCATCACACCATGAACTATATTTAAATAACAAATAAACAGTTGGCAACATGATTTTTTTGATACTACTTACCATACTCAATTTTTGCTTTCGTCATAACCTTTGTGAAATTTTTAAATTCTTCCGTAAAAGGCTCATCGTTTAAAAATACATAGGGATAATTATATTTACGATTAAACCTGTCTTCAATTTGTCTCATCGTGCTTCTAATCTCATTTAATTCACTACTTCGAGTCAAAACCACGAAACACGCATTCGCCTTGCCTATTTGTCCAATTTCTATATTATTTTCTTGCAAAACATTATTCATACCTTGGAAACCATATTTCCTTGAATATGGTTTTAACATAGTATAAAATAATAAACATAATGCCAGAGCTACCAGGGTTCGCAATGTGTATCTGTGATAAATTTTTACCATTTTTAAAGATTATTTGAAGAAATTGAATTTAAATTATCGTTTTTATGAATATACACAAAATGACATATTTATATTAGAAACCGATGTAACTTAATTTTTAAGAAATTAATATAAATATTATTTTTTATTCTGTAACCTGTTATTGCCATACAGATTTGATTATATTTATATTATTGTTTTTGTTTTTTTTCGTTATAGAACTAATAATACTGTAAACTACTGATATTATTGTTTTTGTTTTTTTTCGTTATAGAACTAATAATACTGTAAACAACTGATAACACAAAAATTTTACATTTCGAGAGTTTATGTGATTCTAGATCCACATTAACGCGTTTAAATTATGTACTTGTTATTGATCATGTTATTGATGATAACTGATTATTAACTAGGACACTGTGTTTAAACGTGATACACAAATCCCCGTGAACAAAGTTTGTGTACGTATCATGACAATAACATGCACGAAAATGGCTATTTTATCATGGATGAATTATATATCATTCAGGTTGTTTAGATTGCTTGTTATAGTTTTGCTATTGTTTATGATGGTAGTGTTACTCGTTGCACACATGTGTATATAAATTTTATTTTTTATATACACTTATTTATTGCCCCTGAACAATGCCAACGTTATAAAATTACTATACCAAATATATTTTATATTTTTATATTTTTTGCTGCTCAACTTCGCTCGTTATTTATGTTCTTTCATTTCGTTTCGGAACTCTTCGAGGTATCTTCATCCTATCTTATATTTTATATTTATGCTAATTTTTTGTGCAATAAACTTTTATAATTTCTCTTACATGTCACTTTTTAATTGCACACTTGTTCATATACATTTAGAACTTTTCTTGCACAACTAATTTCGCATGTGCACCCTGTGCAAAGTAAATTTAAACATTGACTGTACGTACGTACGTAGTGCAACGACGTGTATGACTATTTGAAGAGTTTGTACAAATGAGCGCTGTCAAATCGGACTTTCAATTATATTTTGTGTACAGTTAGTCATCTATGGAAAATCTATCATTATAATAGATTTCCGTAGATGGTTAACTGTACACAAAATAAAAGCCCGATGACAGGTTTTCTTTGAGTAATATATAAAGTAGTATAGTATGAAACATAAAAAGAGTAGCGTAGGACAACTTTAAGTTCTTATACTCATACGTATATTTCAAAATCATACCTATCAAACTTATAAGTAGGAAAGATGACCATACTTATAAGTATACGTAGTATGTATGAAGACTGTCATACTTGTAAGTATACCTGTGCGACGAAAATGTGAAGCGAACATTTCACGTGATATAAGTGCGGGTTTGGGAACTGTAGATGATCGGATACATAATATAGCGTAATGGGTGATAAATCAGTGATTAATTAAAAATAAAAAAAGTATAATGTAGCAAAATGAAGAATAAAAAATTAAAATGGGAATGGCATAAATGATGTAATTTGTATGTAATATAAAGTAAAAAATAAATAGTCTTTGATACGGTATTTCAAACAAAAGTTACCTTGAATAGATTTACAATAAAGAACCAATTAGTGTTTAACCCCGCAACATTATAAATTTATAAGCAATTCGGCATAAAATTTAATATGCTATATTTCTGCAATTTAATAATGCCGATATATTTTGAATAATCGTATGATAGTGTATGTGCGTATGTTGTACGTAAGATTTTTTTTCTTTTAAATAATTAAAAGCTACTAATGTAAACCGCTTATTTTTGTTCATATTTACTTTCTCGAAATGGACAATTTTTACTTTCAAACTATTGATAACCCTGACCTCCATATTAGTGATGATCCTGACTTTTATATTATTGATAGGGTTGAAACTATTTACGAAGAAGATCTAGAATCCTTTGAAAATGAAAGTGTATTAATTTCTTTCAATGATGAACTTCAAGAGATTGATAATAATATTGTAAGCAATTTAAATGAAGATACAATAACCTATTTTACTAAAGAATTAGCATCAAAGGATACTTTAATGCCTATAAAATATCCTGAAATAAGTCCAGATGGTATTGCTTATGTGTATAATGTTGAAGGTTGGGTAAAACTATTAGCTGCATTCAAAGATGTTAGTAAATTTTAAAATTTTAAAATTTATATATTTTAATTTATTATAATTTTATTTTACTTAATATATTTTATTTTAGATTCAATATTCAATTGGCAAGCCTGGTGATGAATATAAGGTTATTTGTCCATATCTTGGTGCTGAAGTAAAATGTGAAATGCAAACCTGTCAAGGTTCAAAACTTTGTAAATTTGCTGCACATGAATTATATAATCAAACACATCAATGTGTTAATATTAATTCTGATCCTATGATGTGAATAACTCAAGAATTTTATCCAGTAATATGGATAAATACTTTTGAGTAAGTAATAAATCTTGAAAGTTTATAATACTATAATATTGTATATTAATTAAATTAAAATTAATTTAGACTTTATCTCACCACTCTTGAAGCACCCTGCATGTTTCAAAAACCAAACAATTATGTAAAGGCAAACCTGTTTTATATCACTTATCATGTTGAGATAATTCTGAATCTACTTATTTTATTGGATATACCAATTAAAAAATAGGAGAGAAATGTCATTAATTTATGTATATCTCTTCTAGTATTAATAATGAAACTTTTGCACAAATTATTTGATAGCACTTATAAGGTAAATAATTAATTTAAACTTATATTATTTAATTTAATTCATAATCTGTGTGGGAACCAGTAAAATTTACTATTAGATTTTGGAGAAACATTTGCAGATCACTTATAAAAGAAGTAAAAATAGCAAACTTTATTTTGTATTAACCAGGCAAATTAAATTCTGGTTATATTAAAAATCATAGTACAACTGATTATGTAAGTTCAAGAGAATCAAGTATCAGTATTTTTTTAAAAAAAAAATCAATTACTAAAAACTTTACATTGGGAAAACACCAGATTCCACTCCTTTAAAACATTAACACTTTGTAATTTGGATATTACATATGTAGACTTTTATTTTACCCGGAAAGGTCAAATAATGACAGTCTCCTAATGAATGACCAGATGACCTTTGATCTTTGCGGAGCCGTGCAAGCCGGGCATACAGTGACCGAAGTAAAAGACTCAACCCTATCTACTTCAGATATCATATTATCACCTTTTTCTGAAGTAGCATCTACTATACTCAATACCACTAATAACCAATCTTTTGATTCTTCTGATGAATCACTATTAGAAGATGACTATAATAGTAAAGAATATCACACAAATTCAACATCATCATTATCACTATCTTACACAAGGTGGTGGAATAGTTACCATAAAATTGATCCAAACACATGCTTCAACAAATTCCTTCATTATCACAGATTGCAACTTTTACCCTCACCACAAACTATTGGCTCATTCCTGCAATATATACAAGAAGATTACCCTGAATTTTACTCTAATCACTATATCAAAATATCTCTAAAAATAACTCGTACTGCTTATTTCTTCTCTGAAGCACATATTTACCTTTCTCATGAAGAAATTTTACCAAATTACACAAACTACTATCTCCTTGAATATCTCTGTAGTCACTACAAAGTGCAACTCAAATCAGATTACAATTCATATTTACTAACTTTTATTGATGGCTCTCTCTTTTTTAACTCACCTATAAACCTCTAACCTCACCAAGCCTTAGTAAAAACACCTCAAACCCTTCCTCACTTTCTTCTGAACTGGACTACACCTCACTAGATAATCAACATGATCTACATCTTACAATAGCTACTCATAATGTTAGAGGCTTTAATGTTCCTTCTAAAAGACAAATCTGGCAAGATTACTGTATCAATCACAATATCTCTATCACTAGCATTACTGAAACCAAAATCTCAAATAAAACCAAACTTTCCTTCTGCAATAATAATTTCTATACATACTACTAGGCCAATTCAGATAGCTCTATGGAAGGAGCAGCTATCATGATTCGCAACTATCTTAAGCCCCATGTTCATAGTTGCCTAATACACTCTGGTGAAGCTGTAGCACTAGATCTCTTCTTCAAAAGCAATATCAAACTTCGCATTATCTCAATTTACCTCTTTTTAACTGACTTTACTAGATGCAACTTCACTCAAAATATAGTTATTAACTGAATATTACAAGCTCATCAACTTAACTTGCAACCTATTATCTTAGGAGACTTTAACACACATAATACTATATTTAGTTTTTTCTCCAAATTCAAACTTATTAATTTTCTATACCATTTCAACATGTTTGATATTGGTGCACACTTAAACAACACTCACTTCACTTGGTCTAACAATAATAAATTTAGTAGAATTGACTACATCTGGACAAACACCTTTAACATACAATTCCTTCTTTCATACAATCTTGATAACAGTAAAACCAGCACTCTTAGCAACCACTTAATTCTTTCTACTTCTTGGACTTTTCTCAGCGCTTATAGTAAGCCTCCTCGTTTTTACACTAACATTAGTCATCGAATATTTGATTATAAGGCCACCTCTAATAACCAATGGCTCAAGTTCTTAGAGCTTACCACACAACTAATATTTCGAAGCTGTGTTCCACTCACTATCATTACTCAAGAAAACATTGACACTTTCTGGCACAAAATTCAACATTGTATTATACATGCTGCTACTAAGACAATTCCTAACAAAATTTCCAAAAAACGTAGTTATAACCATAAATATACACCACAATGCACAGCACTTCATATCAGTCTTAAAAAACTTAGAAATTTATTAAATCCTTTAATAATATCAACAACAATAATTACTTTAAACTTTGCCTCCTACATATCAATTTATGTATCCCTACTATCAATACTTACTCCAAATATAACCTCCAATTACTATCTTCACTCCATTATAATGTGGTCCAGCCA